AAAAATGGTCAATTTTGCTGACTCCAAAAAAACTAGATTTTTAACGAAAATTTCGGACGTGCTAGGAACGATTAAAAAATGGAAAAAAATACCCCAAAAGTACCTTTCCTCTTAATAATAACAAACATTTAGACGATAAAATTTTGTCTTTTTCATCATGCTATGCTCTTTTTTCGTCAAGTACCTAATTTGGCGTAACAATTTTTTTCATCATGCTATGCTCTTTTTTAGCGATCTCAGATTTGGATTTGAAAATACCTAATTTAAGCAGTAACAATTTGAAAATCAGATTTTCTGACCGATCAGACAGTAACAAGTCATAATTTGAAAATACTTAACAATTTGAAAATACTTTTCCTGATTTTTCCTGAAAATACTTTTCCTGGTTTTTCCTTATTCTATCCCTTTCACTTCTATTTAAAGGTTACACAAAATTAGTTTTGAAGGGGACGTTGTCTATCATTGAACAGCCAAATAACAAACAATTTGAATTTGGTTTGGGTAAAATGACTGAGAAGCCCCACAGTTTTCTTTGCGGCAAATCGAGACAATTTAAACAAAGTTTAACGTTGAGGGTTCTTTGGGGTTGGTCGTGTTCAGTCTGGTCTCTTCTTCTCGACTTTTTGACTCCTTGACAAAAAAAATCATTCATCATTTTCTTTGACCAATCAGATCAAAAAAAGTAAACGATTCCAACTTGTGCATATATATTATTGGAAGCACTTTTGAAAGACCCGGGTTGTCTTAAAAGGTGTTGATAACGATTCCAAAGCACCTTTTGTCTTAAAAATAACCCAAATTGAATGAAAATTGTGTAGACTGAACTCTTGGGAACCGTCGGTGCTTGTGCTAGCATGAAGCCACAAGTCATCGTGACTGAGGGTTTGAGCGTACTACCCTTGTTCAGACTGTTGATAACGCTAGATAACGCGCTCTCTCCCAGAAACTGTAACTAAGGTCCGCTCAGCATATTTGTAGTACAAACCACAGGTGGACTCTGCGGATGTTGAACACAGGCGTTTGCAATGGGGATTAGCTAATCGCCCTAGTAGACTGGCATTCATTTTAGATTTTAGACTGCGCTATTTTAGATACTTTCATCCCAAAGAAGATTTATAGCATACTCGAAAGTGACCTTTCAAGTGTATATTCAAAGTTCCAGGCCTTGATAAAAACTTCACTTTCATTCATATCACGCACACCATTTATCATTACCATTTTCTCAGCAATCCTCAAGGTTTAGTTTTGCATCTGAGATTTGTATTAGGTAAATTCCAGTAAAAAAAAAGGAGTTTTCTGGTAATCTTTCTTTTAAACGAAGTATCTATAAACAAAAAACAAAATGTTTTTTTTTCGGTTTTTGTTTTTGCTATCCTATGACAGCCACAATGATGGAGAAGGCATTACCTCGCATCATCCCCACTGAGACACGCTGCAAGAGTGTTGTAACCTAGGGAATGTTAATGAATGGAGTAATAACAGGAAGATTGGTAATGAACGATAATACTTAGGACATGAACAACACATATAAGATTCGCCAGCGGCGCGTAGAAGTAGTCAACTGCTAGAAGTGAGTCAAGTGAATTCCACAATGAATCTCTAACTGCAGAATATCTACCAACCGACCCACGCAGTGAGATGTGGCACAAGGCCGAATTTAATGTGTGGTATCCGAACCCGTATGCTCGGCTAAAAAATTCCCCGTATAAAGTATAAAACGTTTCCCGAGACTAGACTCTACCGTTCGACATAGCCTCGTCTGGGGATCCTCTCTGCCCGGAGGCAGAGAGCTAGACCAACACAGCTGGAGACGAATCTCGAACTGCAGACCAACATACAGTATTTACTACTGTATTTATGTGAATGGGGACATCCATTATCGTCCGTAGGTATGCTACAAAGAGCCACCCCGTTTCGCGAGGCTCGTCCCTTAATCGAGACGCAATTTCTTCACCTTTCAGTTAATGACAACGTATTTCTCATCGTATTTTCTCAACTTATACAGCGAGGCAATTCTGATTCTACCAGGATTCATTATTCGCAGCGACAATCTAAACAATATAAGATATGCAGATGACAAAGTGCTACAAATCTTCCTACAGAAGGTAACGAAGGAAAGCGAGAAGAAAAGACTATGCATAAACTACGAGAAGACAGAATCCATAGTCATCAGCAAAAAAATGAGCCCAAAATACAAATTAAAGGTTGGAGAGACTAAAATCAAACAGATACAGGGATTTAAATATTTGGGAAGTGTTTTAACACAGGACACTGAGATCCGAAAACATATAGGGATGATCAAAGACGCATTCCAAAAGCTAAGCAGAGTATTAAGAGACAGGAAAATTTTGTTGGAAACAAACAAAAAGAGTACGTAATATCTGTTCTCGTGTATGGCAGCGAATGATGAAGATGAAGATGAAGAAGAGACTCTAAGCAACGGAAATGGGATTCTACAGAAAGATGAGACAAACGACGAGGTTTTGGAGAGAATGGAAGC